ACCTTTGTGGTATCTTTCACAATATCATTGACACATTCCAGAGTACACTCATCAATATCATTAGGTTCCTGCCATATTTTTTGTTGTTTGCCAAAATAAGAAATAACATAACCTCTATTCTGGCTGACAGAAATGACTTTGCAGTGTAGTTTATAGACTTTTGATGCATCATGGTCGATCGAATATGTTTGTTTTACAGCTTCCCATACTTCCTTTGTCGTAGCCAACTAAAGAAAGAGGGATCTGATGTCCTTTTTAATTGCATCAAGGAGCCAAGATTTGACTAAATAGTTTTCATCCTCCCATGCTTCATATTCCTCCAAATGAACATCTTTTGGCGCAGCCTTAGTACTCGAAATAAAACCCCAATGTTTCCTTCCACTGATCTTATTTTGAGCATTCAAAGACCACTCAACATAATTGGTACCATGAAGCCGTTCGAAGTGATTAAAGAAGGAGCCTCCTACGTATAGAACCCAACCGATATAATAGTAGATTCATTCTTCTTTAGAGAATCATAATCACTTTCTTCTGAATCAATCATAGTGATAAAGGCCCTACAAAAGAATTTCGCAATGGAATGATATGAATAGAAAACACTGGGCCAAACTTAAATTCCTAAGTAAAGAAGAGGAGATTGATATATATATTACAAAATATTACAAGAAATATCCTATAATTAAAAGAGAAATAATATTCTATTCTTAATAGAAAAACAAAGGTAATGATATCAATTAAGAATATTGACCATATCAAACTCCTAATTATATGATTGACCCTATCATATCAACCTCCTAATTATATGAAATTATTCCTTAATTTTAACATTTTATCTAGTATATACATGATTTCACTAACTACTGCAAGATTTGAAATAATTAAGAAATCAAAAATTCAAATCATTATTCAAAATTTACCGGTATGCAACTGAATGCTAGCCATTAGAATCTTGATAATTACGACTAAGAAAATTAGAAAGAGATTAAAAGATTACCATAACAGGCCTGAAATAGTTTCAGATTAAGTGAGGTACCAAATCTCAGAACCAAGTACAAGATTCCAAATTCACCAGAGTAGAATATTATAATACCCTCAGATTAATTAACTCAAGTAACAGATTGCAGAAATTGTTTCAAGTTCCAACTTTCCTTCATTACAAATTCAACAAAGTGGACATGCCTCAGGTTAAGCAGAGTACTGATATCAGAACTGGGTTCAATATTCCATACTTTGCAGAGTAGACCATCATTTAACTCAGGTTGAGTAGAGTACCAAATCGCAGTACAAGCTCACAAGTTGAAACTATTTCTTTAAAAAATGCAGCAAAGAGGATACAAATCTTGTAATCCCTGATTAGTGATCTAAATTTTTTCTTTTTCCACTGAAAGGAAAAGACTGGAATCATAAAAAATATTGCAATTAAGACAATATATAGTTGATTTAGTTTCTATTCGGCTATTCCTGCTGAATAATTTAAAGAGCTTCAGTACAGTCTCATCCAACAAAGATAATGCAATAGGTTTAAAATTGCAGCTCTTCTATGGTTGGCTTCAATTTAATTGATTGGCTTAGTTGATCATACTGTAAAATGCTATTGTGTAAAAGAGTCCCTGCTCTTTTAGAACTTAAAGAAAGGTTACAGACGCTCAAACTTCTGGAAGCTACAAAATTCTTAATTCTTTTAACAAGTTCATAGTGATCATGAATCATTTTTGTGAATTGTTATATTATGTACACGCATGTGGCTCTTGCCACTAATTACTTGTTCATTTTTTTTTTTTTTTTTGTTGATCGAGGGTGTCGGGGCAGCTTACACGCACTTCAACTAATCTGATAGAATTTGAGATGGGTCTGACTGCTCACCCAATAAAGCATTGTTGAATGAGGGAATCACCAAAACCCTTTTATAAACCAAAAGGCTTAAGCGTGCCTGGTCAGTATGGTACTTCAATACTCCCCCTTTTATAAACCAGAAGGCTTGAGCATGCTTGGTCAGCGTGGTACTCCAATACTTCCCCTCACGGTCAAGCCCATGTGGTAGGTCATGCCTGTTGATGAAAGTAGTTGCTGGCTCTAACTCCTGAGCCGTTGGTCAAGCATTCAGCTCAACTAAACTTGACTCTAATACCATGATAGAATTTGAGGTGGGTCTGACTCCTCACCTGATAAGGTCTTGTTGAATGGAAGGATTACCTTCTCTTATAAACCAGAAGGCTTGAGCGTGCTTAGTCAGAGCCAAGGTGAATTGAACTCAGAACCTCTTAAATAATACATCCAAAAGTCTTAGTTAATCACTCGACCACTCTTTTTATTTGGAAATCTCACACTCCAAATTTCATTGCAAATCACTTTATGGCTAATGTAGTATATCCAACGTCCTGAGTATTTAATCATTTACTTCTACCAAAAACCGAATTTGCCAAGTGCTGTTCAGAATGGAGTTGAGGGATGAGGCAGATCTCAGAATATAAAAAAGTTAGAACACAATCTACTTTAATTAGAAACATTCAATTAAATCAAGGAAGCAATCTAATTGAAAACATTAGCGGACCCGCTAAAAGCTACAGTTTATGCTATTTCTGTATCTCCAAAATCACATTAATAGAAAAAGGAATCCTGAAAAGATAATGAAGCTAGCAAGAAAGTGGCGTATTTCTCTCTTGTTTGCCATTTTTTTCTGAAATTGTGCTTGAGTTCTGCAAGTTCACATGCATATATGATATATGTGACCACATATCATCAAATCAGGTGAAATAAATTACACAAGCTAGGTAAGATTCCCATGCCATCATCAGGCTGTTTGTGACAGAAGAAGAAATATCTGAATCGCCAAACCTTATCTGCAATATGCAAAAAATATTCTTCTTTGGTCCATAATAAAATCCTCACAATGAAGAAATTCTTGTGAGAAGTGATAAACATATTATTTAACAATATATTTCATTTTACGCTATCTGAGGGAAAGGAAATGCAAGGCCAATAAAAACAAGGATTCCGTTGAAGCCAGCGGATAAGTTGTCATTTCTCATGGGTCTAAGCCCAAATCCCACCCCATCCTAGGCCTCATCTGAATAAAAATCCGTAAATTACATGGATATGGTGGTGGGTCTGAGTAACTTCAATATCTATGACTGACAAATAAAGTCCTGATGAAGATAAGACTATTAGCGAGCACAGGCTATAGAATACAAGGGATCCAGGTATATAGGATGCGAAAGATCTAATCTCTTTTACCAAAAAAAGCTGTCGTTTTCATGGGAAGGGGGTCTCTCTGTCCTCATTTAGTCAGTTTCATAAGGCGGGTAAAGAATCTCTGTACCGTGTCTCAGCATCGCCCAATGAAGTATTACTAGTTACTGCTTTCATAATTCCTCTTGCAATAGGGTAAATTTATTTTGGACTTTGCCGTGTGATTCACGAAACTTAAAACATTTGGTAACCCTATCTACAAGCTCCTCTCTTTACTGCTGTGCTTTATCACATGCTCCTACCTGACCAATTTAACCAAGGACACTTATTAGATACTGATAGCTAGATATTCCACAGTAGGAAAAGCCCAAGCTTGTGACTGCTTTGGTGGTGGGAATCGTAGATATATGAGGGTATAGCTGAACAACGTGATAAGTATTAGTACGTACCCGAAGACTGCTGAACAACGTGATAAGTATTAGTACGTACCCGAAGACTGTAGCTGTTACCTGATGCAAAATAAAGCAAAAAAAAAAAAAACACTGTTTTACTCGCTTTTCCAGGCACCCATTTCAGAATAAAACTTTCACATTTTGAATTTACATCCCTTCAGCCGATTTTCCCAAGCCAACAGTATAGTGCTTACAAATTTCAAAGCAAGGAGCCTAGCTATTGTATGTAACGGCCAGTGACACTCTGAATAATTAGATGGCTTAAAGTAGAAATTCTGGAGATCAAATTCAAATTAAAAGTCACTTAATCTGTTCACACTGATTTAAATAGCAGAATGAAAGGGTTATGCTCCAACAAAATGCGAACATGTGGACCCAGAATGATAAATTCCACGTGCACAGAATAACACCGGACAGAACGGGGAGGATCTCGGTAATTCTTAGTCTCATCTCATGCCTTGTGATCGTGGTCAGTCTTAATGATGAACCGATCAGCGCCTGTCAAGTGACGGTGTCCTGGAAAAGTATAGACCATTTGTTCCTTCATAGCTGTGGCCCATCAACAATCCAGCAAGTTTGAATGGGTCCATTTTGTTCCACATGAGCCTACCATTAATGTTCATGTTTCTTTACAAGAACACAAAATAATACTTGTATTCTTAATCAACATAAAAGCCTGCAAGTCCGCCATGATAACCATACAAGAAATCCCGAAACAAGCACAATTATGGAGAATGTGCATGCGGGAGAGAGCACAAATAATGTAGCTAGTTTGGAGTGTTTGAGAATACTATTTACCAAATTCTTTACATTATTTATTTTTTTTTTTTTCATCAAGTCAAATATAACCATGATCAACAAATGATTATGTTCATCATGATTGCTATGGTCAAATGAATTTGATTAATTTCTGATTAAATACTACCCCAAGACGATAAAGTCACACAGTACTGACCAAAGAGAAAGAAAATAGTCAAGCAATTAATATGGTCAAAGAAAATAAATTGAGAAGAAAGGCATCTTGTCTTTTATCAATTCAATTTCTAGTTAGGTTGAGCTTACAACTTTGATTGGATGTGCAGAAATCATCAGATCAGTCAAGTTTTTTTTTTAATGATTTCCAAATACTAGTCGCAATCGGTAGGCTGTACGTGAAGTATACTGTTGCATGAACTGGAGACCCAGGGCTCTTCAAACAGTACAACTTGCAATTCATTGATAGTTCAAACTCAACATATATGTGTTTATATTCATCCTCTGATCATAGAAAAACCTGTCGGCACGTAGGAGTAAAGCGGTGAAATTAACTACTTTTACTGGATGATGAGTGGTGAATTCAAGGGTACATAAACCCTGCAATTAAACTACATTGATACATTAAAGAGAAGGTTAATTAACAAAGTTAACATAAACCAAAGTGATTCTTTTTTGTTAACTACTGGTTTACTTCAAAGACCCCTAGAAACTCTGAAACTACCTGATCTGCGGTAAAACATAGCTTCCCATATCTCAGTGAAAGCTTCCACAATAACCCTATGATGCTGCCTGGAATTCAAGGACAAAAAGCAATGCAAGAGTTGCTCCAACTCTTGCTCTTCAAACATTTGCTTCTCCAAAATCATCTCCAACATGGATCCTTTGAAATCCTCGTACGGATCCTCAGATTTCTTCACAACAGCAAAGCTCTCTCTCACTTTCCCATCAACAGTACATGGTATCAGCCTCTGTAGGAACATGGACAACCTCGCTGGAGATTCAATTTCCGGAGAAGAAAAATTACCCTTTTTATTTATCACTTGGCTTGTCTTCAAAACCGACCGTTTTACCTTCTTGACCCTCTTCTTCTTACGGGTGCTTACAGGCCTGTTGAATGGTATTTCTCGTATGGTTTCAAGTTTGGGATAGAACTCTGAAGAAGAATAATCAGTGGATAAGCTTCTAGAAGAGGAAACTAATGTTTCAGTTTCTTCATTGTCTACATAGTCGACGTCATCATAACTTTCACTGCTAAATAACTCGGTATCAGCCGAAGATGTGCTGATGCGGGTCTTTGGCGGTGTCCTTTTCTTCTTTCTACCACGTCGTTTTTTCTTCTCCGTGTTTGGTGGTGGGGGAGGAGGCAACAAAACCTCGTCATCACATGACGTGTGACCGGAGGCTGAGGCTGAGGAGTTGTAGATTTTCTGGCGAGGGGTTTCGTCAAAGATTTTGGCCACCACGTGAAAGTTGTCTTCTTTTTCCCAGTGAAACTCTGGTGTCAGTGGAGATTCAGAGTAGTCGGTTAAACAGAGGTTCTTTGAGCTGGATCTTGAGGTGCAGCCGCATGCTATGCATGTGATGGCGGAGGAAACGTGGCGTTTGAAAGAGGAGTGGCGTGTTTTGGGGGTTGGTTTTGGATAATGGAGAGTGATGGGGTTAGGGGTGACCAAAGAGAACTGGAGGACTGAAGGGACTGGATTTGACGGGAGAGTGGATGGGTCTTTAGAACGGCAAGAACGGAAGGATGGGATGAATCGGGATATCCGGAGCTTGAAACCCTTAGCCATTGTTTTGTCTTGTCGGAAAAGCTCACCTTCAAGACTAATAAACTGTGTTTGTGTGAGAAAAAGTAGGGTTTATATAGGCCGTGTGAGGTGTGACGAAATAAATGAATTATTTTTAAAACCACCTTGGATGGTAGACCAAATAAATGAACTATAAACTTCCTTTATTACTTGCTACAGTTCAAGTACCAGAATCTTTTTTTGTTTTTCCGACCAAATTTTGATATTTCAGAGAAAGAAGGCGAGCCAGTAATCCACATCCACCCGTGATTATACTTTATACAGAACAAGAGATAGATCGTGAATGCATGTTATAAATTGTCATACGATAAATGCAAGCCTTTGTTAATGTTATTGAAAGTTTCTACATACAGAATACCTTCTATTATTACCATTCGATACCATAAATTGTTTCATTATATAAAGATAGAACGAATCTATGGTGAATCCATTTAATTACAACATTTTCTTGAATAAAGCAGTACATTATATATAGTCTTCTGTATATAATATAATATAATATAAATGTACGTTAGTATAAAGTTATAACAAAATATCAGTAATATGATCATTACTTTAATTGTAAATTAATCTAAAAAGATGTAATTTAACTATTTAAAACTATTTATAATTACTTTTTAGAAAGACCTTTTTATATAACTTTATTTGAAATTACAAAATTAAAAATCATTTTCAAATATTTGAAAAGTTTTTAACAAATAAAGACTATGATAGAACTCTTTTAAAAATACACAATTTTTACTTATATTCAACACTACCTTATTATTTGTGACTGATAACTGATAATAACCTATACCATGTATGCTTGATCTTGAACTTACATCTTTTTGACCCAAAGGCCAGTCATAGGCTTGTAGCATTTGACCTAGGTAAACTACATAAAAATATTATTTCATTTGATACTGTTTTACAAAATAAAATTTTAAAAACACCCCTATAAAGAAAAGCAATCCAGTATATAATACTTCTGATTAATTAATTTTTTTTTTTTTTTTTTAATCTATGAGGTATTTAAGTCAGTTTGTATGTATCTCTCCTAATCCCCTTTAAACTTGAAATTGTCAGAGGATAAGAATTCCAATAGCCACTATTCTTAGTACTTTGAAGGGTTTTATGAAACATTTTTTACTTTTTTACTATCAAACCATGCCATAATTGTTTCAGATTGATTAAGTTGGATAAACTTCTTATTTAATTCGTAATTCAAAGAATATAAACATTAAATCTTAATTTTAAGTTTCCCTTTACCATTAACAAAACAATTCTAGCAAGAAGTATAGCTAGATTTGTCCTGGCAGCTGGTCTCACTGGCAAATTTGTCTTGAATTTGGAGGGAAGTTTCCTATATTATATTATGCTTAGGCCGTCTTCCAAGAGAGCTGAGAATTTCTGAAAAATATTGGAGACTAATCATGATTATAATCCAGAGATGTACAACGTGCACTGTCGGATTCTGTAATATATTACAAAATACAAATACTCAAACTGATCATACACGTGGAGCTTTTTGTCTCTTTAATCCAAATCAAATTTTGAACGCAGAAAGACAAAGTTTATTAATTAAAAATAATTCATATAATAATATTTTGCACCAAACACATCCTTTCAGTCTTTCAGACTTCGGAGTCCCAGCTAATAAAATCATGAGCAAGTTCATATCTGAAAATTCGGATTACAAATTTCGGCCGGTTCGTTTCCTTAGTAATACATATTGATACAATTCCCAGTTTCATTTTCTTTTTCCGACCTTTATTTGTTCATCTGACAACGTCTGCCATGCTGAATATTTAAACAACATCAATAAACATTGCAAAGGGAGACCTTTTACTAAAGAAATTCGAGTTCATTATTTCCATCTAACCTTATCTATTAAATTCTGGATAATTATTGGAAAATGATTAAAGTATGGGGACACTGCTCTTGGTATATTGATTTTTAAAAAGGGGCGTGGAGAGGAGATCTGAAGCAATGGAATTGAAGCTCTGATATGATGTGAGAAAAGGTTAGCAGGTTTGCGGAAACGCTGGCGCTCCCATGCATTAACTATATGTACATCGACACATGGGTAAAAATTTATTGCTTTAACAAAATAAGTAAAAAGGTAATTAAAGCAAAAAGATTGGGAAGGGACCTCAATGATGTTTAAATTTTAACCTCTGGGTGGGCACCTGACTAACTGATTCCATGGTTTCTTTCGCTTATAAGAGAAAGGATGGCTAAATTGTCAAAAGGAAAATGAAAAGCAAGTGTTGTTTTCTCCACTTTTAGCTTAATATTGATTATTATATCTAAATAAAAGCATGCAAAAGAGCGAAGCTTTTGTATATAGAATATATATAAATATATGTGTGTGTGTGTGTGTTGATGAAGCAGACCCAACAGAGAGAGTAGACTACTCAAGAAAAAGTCGATACAAAGAAGCGCTTAACAAAGATGGGTGGGGATCCAAGGAAACAAAATCATCTTTTGCATGCAACTGTCTTCCCTTTTTCGTTGTCTTTTTTGCGACATGGTCATTTGGCCTAACCTCCTTTCTTGTGTTGGGCATCTCACTCAGCCAGACACCCAGTCAACCATATCCGTTGCCCCAATCCCAATCCCAATCCCAATCCCAACTCTCAATTGTTTTTTAAATTTCCAACTTTAAGCTAAAACCCATGGGCCGGGGTATAAACATGCATGTGGAATTGTCCACACTCACAAATTAACTTGTTCTACAATGGGCTTTTTTTAACTGAAGTCTTAGTCTGTAGATCAGCTAACCTCAAAATTGAATATGTTGTAGTGTCTTCTTTTGCTTTTGTTTAAATTTGTGGATTCACATCTGTAACTTACAAACAAATCTAACGAATTGAAATTGGATTCTCTTTTTGGAAGCGAGTTTTGATTACAGGCTCTAAATTATAGCCGTTAACTGTTTTTGTGGGCACTGGAGGTGAATTCGAAAGAACAATATTCTTGTAAAAATATACACTGTAGTCCTATCGAATGGTCAAGAAAGTATTTGTTGGACTATCGAATGGTTAAGAAAGTATTTGTTGGACTATCGAATTTTAACACTAACGATTCGCACGTTCAAAGTGCTAAGAGAGTTTTAAAAATTACACGTGATGGATCCATTTGAATATGGTGTTGAGATTATATATGTTACAGAAACATAAATAATAGACTGACAATAGAGGTTTTTATAGTAGTTCGAATGCTTAAAGAAAATCCTACATCCACTGTTATTTTATTATTCTCTAACTATTTTTTATGATATTACCCATAAAACATACAAAGATGAAGAAATACTTTGTTTTACAGAGAGAAATAATGAAGCTCAAATCTATGTCTAGCTCTCATATGCCCAACCCCCCTTTTCGTGAAGAGAGGTGCTCATTTATACACCTTTTAGGTCAATGTAGTGAATGCTTATGCGAGTTGTTATGACATGTGAGGACTATTCCTTAACCCTTATCTTTTTATTTTGATAAAGTTGAGACAAGTGTACAGTCCTCATTTACTTATAGATAAAACTTGAATCTGTTGGGTTAGTGACAGTCATATCTCTTCTGTCTTAGAACGATGTGATAACTCCTGGACGGCACAAAACCTTTCTAAACTCTGATTGATTGATGCTAACATCAGTACAATTTTATAGGCACAACAGTATTAACTAGACGAGCAGTATCTCATATGTGAATATTAAGCAGCTCACCATAAATTCCTGCAGTTTAAACATTATTATCACGATAATGTGAACTGTATTTTAAACCGTTCATACCATTGTTAATGCAAAGGGAAGGTTGGTCAGATATGCTTGTGGATTTTCGAGCATGGTTACTGTAAAATTGAACAAATTCAATCAAAGAAGTTCACGATATTCAAACTGTTGACACTCCTATCAAAGTTGGCCTGCCTACCCAAAATTTGCAAATCCTAGCAACCAACCAGCAAGTGACAAAGTTAGGTCCATCAGGGTGATGGACAGATTCATATCTTTATTGACCTCTTTAATTAAATCTAACCTGTCCTTCGGAAGCACGGAACGGTCCTTGTTTGCCCAAATAAATTTTTTGGCCCGTACACATTCAATTGAATATTGAACAAATAATTAAAAATGTACATATCCGTATTGATCTTTTCGTTTATATTAATCTTTTATTAATTACTTTATAATTATTTATTGATAAGGATATTTTGTCCTCTTAATCGGTGTGAATTGAATGATCCGCAGCGAAAATATAATAGATAAAGAGTAATGTTGAGAGTGACCATACGACAATGAAGGCAAAGAATATGGAGAGGCAGGTATTAGATTTGAGATAAATAAAATATAATTTCAGGAATGTAACGGGGCCGGATCGATTTGTCTTCAAAATTATGCTTCTTTGATCAAGAAAATGATAAGGCACAGTATCGTTGTAGGTTTTGTGAGTGACAAATTCATTCATAAGATGATGTTCTTATGTAAAAAGTTTTACACTTTTCACTACAATTAAATTTTATTTATCTCTCCCGTTTTGCATTTTGAATCAATTTTATAAGTATTTTTGTCAATGTAGTTTGTGTGAACACATTTATTTATGATGGTTGCACACTTTCTTATTTAAGCACAATCGTTTCTTTAGTTCACACATGTTACGACATTATGAATTGATGTGTGCACATTCCTTTAGACTGTTTTTATCGCATAATGTGTGGCCACATTAGAGTCTGATGTACCAACAGTTGTTCAGTCAACTTTTTTATACAAATGTCATGTTTTCGTTTGTTGTTATGATATTTTTTTAAGGTCTAAGATATGGATAAGTGGTTCATATAAGATGTTAAATATCTCAGATGTGGTCTTGAAAATTCGTTTTGCTTTTCAAAAGTGGTCATAACAAAGTTGATAGAAACTTTCATCTTTTAGCTAAACGCGTGTAGAGGTTGTTGGGTGGCTATCTAAGGGTTCCTTGTGCAAGAATTCTATTTAATCTCCTTCATTTTTGCATTTA